GTTTTGGCCCTTAACTGTAGCATCTAAACTCATAGTTTTCGCCTGCATTGAACACAACATAATCTCAGCCTACAAACAAGTCATAAAACTACTAATCTATTAAACAGTACATCAATAAGTTTTGATTTCAAGAACATAGAGAAAATTCACAATCCAAAAATCTCCCTCTTTCTTTCTGCAGGTTCATATTGGTTAGAACAAAAGATCACAACTTGCATGAATGCATTATGCTTTTCATAAAAAACAAGATGATGAATGCGTTAACCTTTGAATTATTCTCTTATTCAAAGTGAACATATGATTAAACAGTACCATTAAAGTTGTTGTCCTCATCAGCGAGAGGGAAATCCAACCATGTCTCAGGACTCAGAGAAAGATCCCTCACAAACGCAACTACTTCCTCGGTCACGTCGATTGCATCTTCAACATCGTGCTCTTTCGAATTCGCACTCAATTGCAAGAATTTTGAAGCGATTTTTGTAAACTCCGATATCGGTAGTTCCGGAGAGCTTCGAGATCCCATTCTGAATCTACCTCCGATCTCCACGAAATCACTCATGATCCCAGCAATCAGATTCTCGTCACCCTCACCGAGATCCGATGACTTTCCTCTGCGTGATCTGCAAAGAACGAAGATGAATGAAGCGACGAAGAAGAGAGACTTTTTTTTTGTTAAAGATGATAAAAACTTTTATCTATTTTATAAAGAAATAATTATTTTAAAATCTCTTCAAAAAACATCTTTATGTGTGAATTTTTAAATTATTATTTGTGAGTAAAAATAGATGTAAAATCTCCTCAAATCCTTTTCATAACTAATTTTAAAATAAATTGTTTGATTTTGAATAATAATGGATGTGATTTAGTTTTTATAAATTATTCAATAACATGGATTTTGAAATGACTTTAGTTAGTTTTACATAAATTTCATATTCAATAACATCAATTTTAGTAAGACATTTAGAAATCACTAATTCTTCTGAAATTCTTAATCCAATACACCCCTAATATTTATTTGCTTTTTTATGTATTTAAACCTCTTTAACCGGTTTACTAGGGCTTTCGATCATAATTTAAATCATTTTTATTTCCAAAATAAATACTATCTACTATATATTGTGATGTAAAAAAACTGTAACTGCAAATTCACTTTATTCCAAATTTTAACAACACATAAGGCATACCTAAAAATCAAATCAAACTATAATTAGTCTATAAATGGAGCTTTAACAAAAACTTAATCCAACTAATGAGTTCAACTGGTCTAGCTAACCATCCGAAAGATTAGAGAACTCAAAACCCACAAATTCGAATACCGACAGCAAAACAAAAAACCTAATTAACCAAACAAACCTGTTATGGTCTCTGTTTTCTAATTTTAGAGCTACCACATAAAAACAATGTAATATTTATACCATTCACATAACAAATTTCTATAATTTGAGAATCTTTTATTTTCCATTAAATAATTTGTTATTTTTGTGGTAATAATATGGACCTGGGTCTATGCGCGAAGTGGAGAAAGTGGAGCCAAGATAATCTAGTCGACATTATAATATCAGAGAATTATTTGCTTCTCTGTGAGTCAGAGGGTTCAGTGTAACTGTCCACCAAACAAAATAACACAGAGAAACAAGACGAAAGTCACGAAACCCTCTCTCTCTTTCTCCGCCCCTCCCTTCTCTCTCTCTCTCTTCCTGTCATAAATATCGCCACTAAACGTTAACACACAAACCTTCTCTCCCTCTTCCTCTCCCTCTTCCTCTCTCCTCTGCATAACTCTGCTTCTCAGGTGCTGTGACATGGCGGCGGTAGGTCAAATCTCGACGGGAATGACGGTGGATCGCACTCTGTCCTCCTCCAGGAACATTGGAGCTGTGCCGCCATCGTCATCATCGCTCCGGCGAACACTAATCGGCGTCGGAGGGAGGTCTGGTATCGCTTACCGTCAATTGTCTCTCTCCGTCAGATCGATTAGTGCCAATGAGGATAGCCAGAAAGTTAAGGTTTATGCGGAGAATGGCGCTTTCGATTTGGTTATTGAATTCGTTTTCTTCTCTAAATTGGTGTTTGTATTTGCTCATTTCTGTTTTCTTGTGTGTCACGCTCTGTTTTGATTCCTATGGCCAAATGCTTTCGAATGAAATGTTTGGAATCAGTATCGTTAGGATTGGAGCTTTTGATTTTGAAGGATTTCGAATTTGTATTGTAATCTAAAGATTTTTATATGTTGATGTTTTGTGGTCGTTGCAGGGAGTTTTGGATTCTTCAATCGAGCCGTATAAACTTGCGGAGCCAAGAACAAGTAATGACTCGAAGAGGAAAACTAAGATCGTGTGTACGATTGGACCTTCTTCGAGCTCTCGTGAAATGATTTGGAAGCTCGCGGAAGCAGGAATGAATGTGGCTCGTTTGAATATGTCTCATGGTGATCATGCTTCTCACCAGAAAACTATTGATCTAGTTAAAGAATACAATTCTCAGTTTGTGGACAAAGCCATTGCTATAATGTTGGATACAAAGGTAAATATCTTTTTGTTTATGTGTAACGAAAAACTCTATCAAAGTCCTTTTTTTTTCATTTGTATATGCTATGTTTGTGAAGGGTCCTGAGGTTCGAAGCGGAGATGTACCTCAGCCGATATTCTTAGAAGAAGGTCAAGAGTTTAATTTTACTATCAAGAGAGGTGTCTCGCTTAAAGACACCGTCAGTGTAAATTATGATGATTTTGTCAACGATGTGGAAGTTGGAGACATACTTTTGGTGGATGGTAAGAGCTTACATCTACGAGTACTGCTATCTTTGAGTGTTCGTTTTAGTTCAACTGTAACAAGAGAATGGCTTCTTGTTTCTTTATACCAGGTGGAATGATGTCGCTAGCTGTTAAATCGAAGACGAGTGACTTGGTGAAATGTGTAGTTATTGACGGTGGAGAGCTTCAGTCTAGACGTCACTTGAATGTTCGAGGAAAGAGTGCGACTCTTCCTTCCATAACAGGTAGATATCAGCTATTAGTTTTTACCAGTCTCTTGCATCGAGGAGGTTTTGTAATTCAATAAATTGTTCATGCTCTGGTTTTAACTCGCCGCAGACAAAGATTGGGAAGACATCAAATTTGGAGTGGACAACCAAGTTGATTTCTATGCCGTCTCTTTTGTTAAGGATGCTAAAGTTGTCCATGAGTTGAAGAACTATCTCAAAAGTAAAGCTCTCTATTTTTTCTTCAACCATTTAGCGCACAGGTGAAATTTCTGTGGAACTAATCCAAACTTTTAAATGTTTTGATAGCCTGCAGTGCGGATATATCGGTGATTGTGAAAATCGAAAGCGCAGACTCTATAAAGAATCTCCCTTCTATCATATCTGCTTGTGATGGGGTTGGTTTCAGAGTCTTTTCTATGATCACAATTTATATTTTGATGCTTGATTCTTAGCTGTTATAACTATCAATCCTGTTCTAGGCAATGGTTGCTCGTGGAGATCTTGGAGCTGAACTTCCCATTGAAGAGGTCCCTTTGTTACAGGTAAAATCAAGACTTGGTTTACGATACACTACCTTCGACTCTGTTTGTATTTAATTATTTATACTTTTGTTATTATGGCTTAACTTTAGGAAGAGATAATCAGAAGGTGTAGGAGCATTCATAAACCAGTGATTGTCGCCACAAATATGCTAGAGAGTATGATTAATCATCCAACGCCTACAAGAGCTGAAGTCTCTGACATTGCAATCGCAGTACGTGAAGGCGCGGATGCAATCATGCTTTCTGGTGAAACCGCACACGGAAAGTTCGTATTTTAAACTTAAACCCCTTAACCTTTTCCACCAATAGAACTTACATTCCATGTGATCTCGAAATGTTCTTAGTCATTTCAATCCTGTGATGTTAGGTTTCCACTGAAAGCTGTTAACGTAATGCATACTGTGGCATGGAGAACTGAGGCAAGTCTACCTGTCAGAACCTCAGCACTACGCACAACTGCTTACAAGGTACTCACACATTCATCATATCAGAAATACTAAGCATCATCAGAGAACTCCATATACATAGACATTCTTGCTACAGGGTCACATGGGCCAAATGTTTGCGTTTCATGCTTCTATAATGGCTAATACACTAAGCACACCGATAATTGTATTCACGAGAACTGGATCAATGGCAGTGCTTCTAAGCCATTACCGTCCGTCCTCAACAATTTTCGCCTTCACAAACCAGTATGTGTCTGTTTCACTTGTCATCAAGGAAATGTCCTGTGTATGCAACGTTTATCGAAGAAATGGGTTTTGATGGATATGTTGGTTTGTTTCTTTCAGGAGAAGGACAATGCAAAGGCTGGCTCTTTATCAAGGTGTCATGCCTATATATATGGAGTTCTCTGATGATGCAGAAGATACATATGCCCGGTCTCTGAAACTCTTACAGGTACATTAACCATGCTCCTTCTCATTTATCAACCTTACATTTTCTCTCATTGCAGAACCAGTTTGTGCTAACACTTTTATCTGCTATATGTTGTTCAGGACGAGGATATGCTCAAGGAAGGACAACATGTAACTCTTGTCCAAAGCGGTGCGCAACCCATTTGGCGTGAAGAATCGACACATCTCATACAAGTCCGTAAGATAAAGATAGGTTGATGTTTTTTTTACTTCTTGAGCTTCAACATCTCTGCCTTTACTCAGCTTTACTTTCTCTTCCACGCCTTGATCCATATTGTTTGAATCACTCATTGTGAAACTGAAACCATATATATTTGAAGTTATTGAAGCATTTTTTTTTCTTTCTGGTTTGAGTTAAGTACCTGACATGTCATGGAGGATTTCTGTCTCACTCATCTTACAACTTATTAGTAGGAGTAACCCACAGAACACATATGACTTTAAAAACAAAACAGTCTTTTGGACGAAAAAAGACTAATCCGATTTAGCCTTTTTTATTTTATCAATCAGTTTGCTGTTACATCACCGGAAAAACCGAAAACCAAACACACACTGTTGTTAGACTTTAGAATCCTTCATCGGCTCCTCGTAGTCGTCACTGTCGGTGTCATTTTCATCATCACTCATCATGTCTTGCATCTCATCTTTCCCTTCTAGTTTTATACATTTGTACCACCTTGCACATGCAACGTACACCACCAGGTCAACGCTGGTCAACGCAGCCAGGAGGAAGTAGAATCTGTCCAAGTGACCTTTGTTGAGGTTCCTTGGGATCCAACCAGGCATGTGATCCTCTGTAGAGATCTTCACCACCATTGTCACCAACAAGCTGCTCACAAAGTTCCCCATCGACATTGACATCATACACAGAGCACTCCCGAAGCTCTTTAGTCCGTCTGGTGTCTGCGCGTTGAAGAACTCAAGCTGACCCACGTACATGAACACTTCTGATGCCCCGATGAGCGAGTATTGGGGAACCTGTAATGTAAAGAGGAGAAGATCATCAGCACTCGAAGAGGATTTTCTCTGTAAGTGATTGTACTTTTTTTTAGGATTTGTGTTCATTATTACCTGCCAGAAGATGCTTAATGAGCTTGAGCCATCACAGTGAGTGCAGCTCTTGTCTGCATACTTAAGCCTAAAGCATTCAACAACTCCTGCTGCGATCATAGCTAAGATAGCAATCACAAGTCCGATTCCCATCCTGTGAAGCTCGGTGATTCCCTTCGTTCCGTCCTTCTTCTTGAACCTGGTGGCTAGTGGCTCGAGGACTCTGCGGTATATGAATATGAACAAAGCGACGCTGAGGATGTCGAAGCTGGACATACTTGCCGGAGGGATTTTGAAATCTGAGACAGTGGTCTTCATCGCTGCGCCTTGCTCCACAAACAGAGAGGCCATTTGGGTAAAGACGACAGAGTAGAGTATAGTGCAGAGCCAAATCGGCATCAGTCTAAGAATACACTTGACTTCCTCGACTTGTGTCACCGGACAAAGCCTCCACGGGTTCACTCCTCCTTGTTTCTTGTCATCAAGATCTCTTGATGTGATGTACGCAGCTCTGTCCAAGAACCTGCAAGTCAGAAGAGAAACATGTTAGAAACAACACTACATGGGGTTTGAAGTATCTGCGAAAAGAGTTTTCGGAAACGTACTTGAACTCATCGGTATGCACTATCCTCCTCCCTGTGTTTCCTGGAGCGTTTTTCCCTTGTTTATCTTCGTCGTACATCTCCTCTCTTCCTCTTGAAGGCGCCTCCATAGATGATTTCTTCGTTGCAGCGACCAAAACTTGGCAAAACCTCGAAAGAGGATTCCCCGTTGGCTTGAAATAACGGTATCTCGGTGTTCCAACGAGGAAAAGAACCAGAGCCAAGATGGCAGAGCCAGTGGACGCCCAAAACCCGAGTGCCCACATTCCCTCGTCCTCGAAATAGCCCAAGATCGTGTTCGAAAAGAGCGATCCTAGGTTCAATGCAAGGTAGAAGTAGCTGAAGAACGCAATCTTTGAGTAGGCTTCTTTAGGATGCTCCTCATCGAACTGATCCGCTCCAAACGTTGCAATGTTCGGTTGGTAACCGCCATTCCCCAATGCGATCAAGTAGATCGAAAGGTAGAACATTGTGATCTCCATCGTGGAATGCGTACCGCAAGGCGTGACTTCATCGCCACAGCCTTTTGGTCTGATCAAGAACATGTACGATGATAGCGATAATGACGAAAGTCCCTGCGTTTTCACATCCAAAAGAAAGTGTTATAATCAGATTATAGTTTCAAACTTTGCATCGCGAAAACATTGAAAGAAGCTTTAATGTTTCAAAACTTTAATAAACGCGATTCATATTTTGATGTGATATTACTTACGATGACAAAAATGACTTGGAAGATAGCGCAAGTCTTGTAACGACCCCAGTAAGAATCGCTGAGAAACGCTCCGACCAAAGAGAAGATATAAACAGTTCCTGTCCATTTGCTAACGTTGTTCGCAGCGTCTGCGTTGTTCTGCTGCAAAACGCGCGTTAGGAACAACACCAAGTTCACTCCAACTCCAAAGAACGCCAGTGTCGCCAACCCCTGGTTTACTGTTAAACCGGTTCAATTAAAAAAAATGGATCAGATACTGGTTTAGAGAGTTGAACTAAAATTATTATTGATTTGAAAGAAACCGGAACTTTGAAAGAAACAGGAACTGATGAATGATGAATGGAATGATTGAGAATAATTGAGATGTTCCGTGTTCGTCAAGATGATGTTAACATTTATGTAGTTGGATAGTATTTGATGACTACTCTATAATAATAGTTCCACCTTCTAACGAAATTGAAATTCTATTTGGAAAGACATTATTTTATCATTCAAAATTTAGCAACTTAATTGAATTCCACCTGTGAACTGCAAATGGGTAGCCATTAAACTTGATTTTTTCTATTGAAACTACTAGGTGTACTCTACTAACTTAATCAAAAAAAAAAAAGAAGACCAATTAAAAAATCTGTATATATTTGTTTGTTTTATAAAAACGATGTTTTCGTTTTTTTTTTTTCATATAGAGGAATGTTCAGCTGGTGGGAATATTTGAAAGCATTTGTAATATATTAGTTAACACAATTTATAAGGTAATTTATATAAAAATGTTAGGAGAATAAAAGGGATTTTCTCCAAGAAAAATGTGAAGAAGTGAGAGTTCATAAAAAAAAAAAATGCACGTGGCATATGCTAACGTCATGGACGAGATGGGTAATTACGTGTAAGGCAACGTAATTCCACTAACACATGCTTCCCTTGCACTTATATTACTATATTATTATTAAATGTCGTCTTCCTCAAAATAACTTCTTTTTCCTTTTTTGGTTTAACTTTAGAAATATTAAAACATCTTTAAAACCTCTAAATATCTATCGCCATATATAGAATCACTTACAACTCTGAGTCTCTCAGAGTTTTCAATTTGAGTTATTCTAAATGGCAAACTAAATCCGTAACATAGAAGCTCACTTAATCATTCAGATCTATTACATCATACATCATATTAGTTTTTTTTTTTTGGTACTAATGTTAAATGCATCATATTAGTTGCGTTTGAATTATTATTTTATTTTTGGAGAAAATGACTGAAAAGGACCCTTATGTTTAATTCTATCATATATTTTTCATGATATATAGTAACAATTAACGAGATATATGCATGTGGTTAGGGTTTTTTAACCACAACATGCAGCCTACGTTCAAACACATGGATATGTCTTGACACGTTCACTTAAAACTCGATGTTAATTTAATGATTTTTTGTTGTTGGTTCTGTTGTCACTTTCCTAGTTTCTGATAACTTATTACCTCAATGATAAGTATGCATATCAATCAATCTACACACTTTTAGATATACATCATATCGTAATCTATTTGAACGTTACATATATATATATATATATGTGTGTGTGTAAGCATGTGTTTCCGTATACAAAATAATGTATTAAGCCATAGTAATAACATGAGTCCAAAAAAAGAAGCCATGATAATAATATATAGGGACTTAATAAATATACCTATGTGTGGACAGTGGACCATGAGTTTGTATGTGGTATCTTTAAGAAAAGGACGTCAAGAACAAGAATTTTTTTTAAAAAAGATTCTATATTTTGAGGTGTTGATCATATTTCGCTTCGATTTTGGTTTATAATTGGTTTCTTAGAAAACATGTAAACTTAAAATTCAATTTTTTTCAAGAAAATATTGTTTTGTTATATAGAACTATTTTTTTTTTCTTTCTTTTCAGTCGATGTATGGTTTAATTTAAGAAAAGAGACATACGGAGAATGATGATGCCAGCAACCCATTGGCCTGAGTTGGAACGAATAGAGGGACGACCATAATAATCCACAGTCCCATCTCTTGTTTCCTCTTCTTCTCCTTCTTTCTTCTTCATCATCTGCATTTTCATCTTACATTTAATTATACAAGCCTCAATTTATTTGTAATATAAAGAAATATGCATATATATATATATCCTATATCTCTAGTGTTACTCTCTACCACCTCTTATCCTCTTGATATGGAGAAGATTCATAAGTTCGATAGTTTTTGTATTCCACTAGAAACGGTTTTTCTTTTAACTTTGTTCCGAATCTCGATCTTTTGGATTATTTAGAGAATAAAATTCCATGCATTGCCACGAATTCTCGATTGGTAGACACAATTTCCGAGATTATTTGGATTTATCCTCGACTTTAAATTTCATCGTAGAAATAAAAAAAAATAAAAAAAAATATGAGAGAAGTATTACAAAAGAAGATTAGCAATAAGATATCAATCGAGCCAATATTATAGAACTTAATTAAAAGCATGTCAATTAAAAAAAAAACTGAAGAGAAAAGAAAAGGTGTTGAGCTAAATGTATTTTGCACATAAAGATCGTGACTGACTTTCCACTGCACTGAGCATGTCCTTTTGATCATGCTCTTCTTGAGCCACCAAAAGCTTTCTAATTTTTTTTTTTCTATCAGTTAGTTACTTTCAAAATATTTCTTGTGTAGTCAGATATGAAATTGAAGAAACAAGAACCTTAGTCACATAAAATAAAATCTTATAAAGGAAGAAAACTAAAGTCCCATTAATTCAAACTCTGATTAAATAAACAATTGAAGGGAGAAGCTTAAAAGTTACTTACGTCTTTGTTATAAATCTCTAGACAAGACATTCTTGATGATATTGGATGATATGTATGTGAATTTCGGTAAGATAATAATAACGAAGTATATTTTTAGTTCTGGTGTTTTATTGTTTGAAGTGATATGAGAGAATTATAAAAAAGGACAAAGAAGGAAGAAGCGGAAAGCAAGTTTAAGCTTGGATGTTGAAGAGCAGAGGAGATTGAGAATAAATAGACGTTTGGAAGATGATTTGAACGGTCCTGATTTAACATGGGACATCACATGCCCAATATCTAAATTTTAATTATATTTTCTACAAAAGAAATACCGGAGAGCACGATGACAAAAAAAAAAAAAAAAACTCATTAGTTCAAATCTTAAGTATTATTTGAGAAGCATGTTTAATGAAAAAAATGATTTTTGAAATAAGAAGTAGAAGTAAAAGTAAAAATAAATTGTTATGACTTTGGTTTTCTATGAAAATCTGAAGCTATGTCTTTGGTTAAAAGCATCTTTAACCCACGTTTATTTTAAATCTTTTAATTTAGAAGAAAAATAGCGATGTTATTTTTTCTTCTATAATTGGAGGAAAAAGTAACAATTTTTTTTTCTTTAAAAAAAAATAGGTTGGAGAGAAATTCACCTATATTTTAGAAAAAGAAATAGAAAAATACATTGGAGACGATCTCAATGTTTATATTATTCAAGCTTAAAAAAATGAGTCAAAAGATACAAAAAGATAATTTTGATTAATTTTATGTTTTTATTTTCAAATATTAAAAAAAAAATTATCTAACACATATTAATTCTTTCATGCATATATTTTTTTAACATCTTAAAATATTATTTTATGAATCACATTTTGTATATGTTATGATCCATTATATATAAGATTAACACATATATCAAAGTTAGGAACAGAAAAACTCTAATTTTGTAATACAATAATTAAATATTAAATATATTATATGACATCTTCAACCATACACATACATATAAGTTTAGGATTTGGCTGGTTTAAACGTTGCGGTTACAGAAAATTTATGGAAGCGAGCGATTGCGGGCTATACAAAATTTTAAAAAGAGATGAGTGGAGAGCTACGTGAGAATTTTATAAAATAAAAATTCACAAATTTTATAATAAATTGTTTATTATAATTTTTATTACGAAATTATATATCATATAATTCTGAAAAATAAGAAATTTTGATTAAATACAAAATGATAGAAACGGCTTTCATAATTATTGTTAAATACTAATAAACCGTATTGTGTAAAATTATAACGTTAATCTCAGAAAAACTAACCAACACCTAAATATTACAATTCACTTATTTATAATTTATACCTACATGCATAAATATACATATTTTTATGAAAAAATTACTCATACATTATAAGAATATATATTACAAAACATACATTTTGTTATTTTATTTCAACACATAAAAGTCATATTTCGATTTTTTCACAAATATACATGTAGATATAAATATTAATTATACAAAAATCAAAGTCGCATGCAAACTTTTCGAGCATATATTTTCTTAACTTCGATTATAATCCAATTTTAATTTTAGATATTAGTCAATTTATATTTATTAAAAAAAATTCTATATGTCCTAAGAGCGGTGAGGTGTGGTACGCACGAATGTGCGGACCAACCATCTACCCGCTCTTAGGATAAGTATTTTATAAGTATTATATAAGTATTTAAAATATAAAATATTTTGTAAACTTTTGTAAATATTTTATAAGTATTTTATAAGTATTTAATATATAAAATATTTTGTAGCCCGCACCAATCACCTAGTTCAATTATAATGAAACAAATATTTGCATATTTTCCTTAAAATAAAGAACTCCAGTATTTTCGAAGCCTCAGGTTGAGGCTGAAGGTCAGAGGCAGACGCTAAAGAAAATATTAATGTATGACTTAAATTCTTTTGTTTTCATTTCAATGAAACTTTGATTTAATTGTTATGTCAATTTGATAACAAAATAACAGAATATTAAAATAACAGAATTAGTAAGATGAAAAAAATTAAAACTAAATAAAATAGCAAAATTAATAAGATAAAAAAAATTAAAACTAAATAAATTTAAAACACTAAAAAGTTATTAGTTATTATTAAAATAATTGTTGGTTATACTAGTTATAATTTTAAAAGATTTAGAAAAAAAACTTATTGATTTTAATTTTTTTTATTTTTTATTATTTCATGCTTAATATTAAAAATAGTTAGTATCCGTTAGAATCACGTTTTCACTACATTATAAATGTCATGTATTTGACGGAATCAAGTTTTTAAATCGTGAAAATGAAAATAAGCTATATACCATTTAAATTCTTAATTTTTTTTATCAGATATAGATATATATTGCCATGTAATTAAGAAATACATTTAAGAAATTTAGATTAGAAATTCATAATATCATCTCTAATGGCTAGCTGTATTTTTACTCTAAATATAATGTTATGTGTAGATAGAGAGTAGTTTGATCTAATGGTTATCTCTATTTTTAACTTTATAGAATAATATTCTCATTGTATTCTATTTTTATTTAGTTATAAATTTTTATAGGTCATTTTACTTTACAAGTATAACTTATCCATTTATTTTGTGTTTGACAAAAATAAAATAGAATTTTAGTTTCATTAAGATTAAATGCTGACCATAAAAATCAATTTTTCATCATTTATCATATTATTTATAATTTTATATCTTGCATTTGAAGAAATTAATTAGTTATCATTGATAT